GGGCAGCCGGAGGACGCCACAGGCCTGGGCCCCTCCCTGCCTCTGGGCTCTGCCAGCCCTAGTGAAGCCTGCTCTGTGGGGCCCTCCCATCCGGGCTCCCCCAGCCCCCTGGACGCAGGACCTCACTGACCCTCCTGGACTCTGGTGCCCAACCCACAGACGTGGGCCCTACTGACCCTGCCTGGCCAGCCAGACACGGCGCCCCAGATGGCTGGCCCCAGGAGCCTGACTGTTGGAGTCTCTGCTGCTACAGTTCTCTCCAAAAGCTAAGGGAGCCAGGGGAGCCGGGTCCATGCACTAGCCTCAGCTACCTGCCTGCTCAGCCTACTACCTGCCTGCTCCTTCTACAGCCCGACTGCCCCTTCTAGGACCTGACTCCTCAGTCTCAGACCTGACTGTCCCTTCTACAACCTGACTGCCCAGTCTACTACCTGCCTGCTCCTTCTACAACCAGACTGCTCCTTCGATGACTTGAGACTTGACTGCCTCTCCCATAACCTGACTGCTCCGTCTACGACCTCTTAACCACTCAGTATCAGAACCCTCTGTGGGCTTGGGGCAATGGTGCTGATGGCCCCCTGGGGGTGGGGGCGCCTTAGTGACTAGCCTGAACCCCTCTCCCTCTTCCGCTCTGCCTCTCTGATTCTCTTTCTCTGTCCTTTTTCTTCTTTCTCTCTCATTTATTTTTCACTTTGTGAATTTCACACACTTTTTAATGAAAACAATCCAATTGTTTGGTAGCTTATATTTTCAGCACAAAAAACACAAAAGACAAAAAAATTGGTTTTTTAAATTTTATTCTATTGACGAAAACAAACAAACCTGACTCACAAATGGACAAAGAAAACTTTCCATGTGTTTCCCCTCCCAGTGAAAAGGGGAACGAGAACTCTTCTAGCTGAAGACCCGCGCTGTCTTCCTCTCTCAGCATGCCGGGCCATGGACACAGAGCCCGGCGGCCGGGGGAAGGATTGCTGTCTTGCCTCTCTCAGCATGCCGGGCCACGGACACAGAGCCCGGGGGAAGGATTGCAAAGTCAGATGAAAAAGCGATTGTTTGCTTTGGTGTATTTTCTCCTTTTCTTGAATATGAACAACTCTTTGGCTTTAAGTTAAAAAAAGAAAATCCCAAAAAAGAAAATGCAGATATTTTAAAAAAGAAAGTGACGGAAGCATACCTGTATCTACCTTGCTAGCTAGCCGCCAAGGATGCCGGACACACCTCTTTCCAAAGGAAACCCCCAAACAAACCAAGAAGTCAAAGTGCAAGACCTTTGGTCGCTGCCAAAGTATTCTCTCCACTGCTCTGCCCCCTCGGGCCCTGGTTTGGACGTCGGTCTCTTGGGCTTTCGTTTTGGGGGTGCTGGGATATTGGGGTCCCAGAGGCACTGGCCCAACAAGAATCATTCTCTTGGCTGCCCTGTTGCTGGGTGAAGTTGGAGGAGCGGTGGCATCTGTGCGTCCACGTGTGTCTGTGCACACATCTTGTGCACACACGCTCATGCACGTCCATGTCTGTGTGCTCACGAGTGAGTCTGTGTGTGCGTCGGGGTCTCGCCCTCTGAATTCCCATCACATTTGCTTTGCCCACGTGTGAAGTCACAAGTGCTGACGTGCCCCTCCCAGAGAGCACACGCCACGTTGTTCCGGGAACTGTGACCACCTCACGTCGGGATTCTGGAGGCTTTCCCAAGCAGGCGGCGGAGCTGGGACCTGCAACGACCAGTCCGGTGGCTCCTCCTCTACCTCTGCCCCGCCCTGAGGCGGGCCACACCTCCGCCGGAAACCAGAACCAGCAGCCCGGCGGCCGGCCGGCCTCTCCTCCGTTCTGTACATAACCCTGGCCTTCCCTCCAGCTGCCCGGGCAGCGGCTGACCTCCCCTCCCGCAGCGCGTCCTCGCCCCCAGCCCCCCACTCGCCGCCTTCAGCGATCTCAAGGAGGAGACGAAGGAGTGAGCCCCGGGTGTCAGCGACCCCCGAGAGTGCAATAGGGGGAAGGGTGGCCCGCAGCTACTGAACTGGGTTCCGGGAGGCCCCCTGCCGAGAGGCCCTGTGTCCGTATTGTACGTTAATGTGAATGTATATAGTCTCTGCAGAGGTCCAAATAATGATACTCCTGAGGAGGAAGAGGTGTTTGCCAAATAAAACAGACAGAAATCTGACCAGAGCCCGCGGGCGGGCGCGATGCCTCTTTCCGGGGAGGAGGCTGGAGGGAGCCAGGCCCAAGGCAAGCCGGTTGGCTGCCATCTGACTCTGCCAGCGGGCCGGGTGGTTGGGGCTCAATCCCCAGAGAGCCCGAGCCCTGGCGAGGGTCTGGTCAGAGGAAGCCTGCAGCCTCCCCCGCCCTCCCCGGTTGCAGGACAGGCTTCTGCATATCCTGCCTGCCCTGGTCCCTGCACAGTACACCAAACAGGGCAGCTTTGAGAGGGATGGGGCTGGGCGGGTTGCCCCCCTGGGCCAGCGGCCCCTGAAGCCTGGGTAGGGCCCTTCCTTGGCCAGGTTGAGGTGAGCCTCTGCCCTTGCCCTGTACCTCCCCACATCCCCAACCCAGCCGCAGCTGAACTGTCCCTATGAGCCAGCTAGTAAGCCTCTAAACCAACCCATGCACCGGACTCACCCCAGGTCATTCTGTCCACCCACTGGCATCCTCAGGGCCACCCAGCCTCAGCTGCTTCCCTGAACCAACTAGGACCTGACTGCAGACTGTCTAGGGGGCAGCCTCTGCCCAGCACCTCCTGGGGCGGTGCAGTGCTGCTGTAGATACTGTGGGCAACCTGGCCAACCAGTGCCAGTCTTGGTGGACACTTTCCAGGACCTGTGTGGAGCCTCTTGCACACCGGCCTGGCCTCTGACCAGCTGCTGTTGAGGTGAGCACCTTCCCTGGCCAGACAGACTAGAGTGGGGCCTGCCTTCTCCTGTCTTCAGGGGTCACCTCCTGAGGTGTCCAAGTGAGAGGTGTCCCTGGGCTGCCTGGCTTCAGTCTACCCCATAATCCTCCCAGGACCCAGAGAGCTGGAGATGAAGTCTGCACATGAGAATTCCCTTCCTCCTGAACTCGATTCCTGCCCATTCTCACGGTCCCCACACCACACACACTGGGGCGGGGGGACTGCTGGTCACAAGCCTGCTGGCAGTGGGAGACCCAGGAGAGCTGTACTCTGGCCTGCACTGTGTCCCCGAAGTTCCAGAGACTTCCATCTCACATCCTGCCTGTTCCTTTTGCTTCCACTCAGCAGAGCCCATCCATGCCGGGTTCACACTGGAGCACCCCTGCCCCTCATCTGGACACAGGGTCCTGCCAGGCAGCACCCACTCACCCATCCCCATCTCCCGAGGCTCACATCACTGCCAATCCCACTTGTGTGTGCACCTGTGTGTGCATGTCTCTATCCTGTGTCGAGTGTCCTGTTTATTCTCTATGACCTCCCCTTCCCCTCCCATCTCCCCATAACCATCAAAGTCCACTTTTTTGGGTGTGAAAACCATTTCACTTGAGTTTCCCTTCTATGATCATGGTCTCATGCAGTGCTTATGAGATTGACCCACTTTTCGGAGCATGTATCTTTCAAATCCGCCTGTTGAGCTGTCGGGCTGTTCTGTTTTCTTCAGGGGTGCATAGTATTCCAGGGTGTGGGGGGACCAGTTGATGGATCCATCCCCAACAACTCCCCTAAGGAAGCTGGAGCAGGCTCTTGGGCTGTGTGCCTGGGATGGGGTCTTGGGACTCGGGGCCCACCGCCTCTCCGTTCTCGGCCCAGCCTGGGTGCCATGTGGCGGCTGAGCCATGCCCACTGGTCTTCCCTCTGGTGTCCTGCCCAGTAAGTGGCCTGTGGGCAATGGTACATTCATTAATGTTGGTTCCTTGGAATAAAGTGAACTTGACCATCACGTGGTCCTGCCCTTCCACAAGGGTCCTTGCCACAATGGGAGACCACTAGCCTCTGGCCTTGTAGGGGAGGTGGATAGCAGGCAGACAAGCGGATATGGGATACTGGGATAATGGGGGGTTGTCTTCTCCTGCACTGCGGGGCTATTGGGGACACATCAAAGGCAATGTTCTTAGGGGCCCCAGAAATGCCCTGTGGCTTCGAGGGTCCTGAGTATCAGCCATTGTTCCGTGAGGTGGGCATGGGCGGAAGGGCTCCTTGTCTACAAGGATGCCACCTCCAGTGCCCGGGGCCGGTGGGTGCTGTCCACAACCAGGTGTAGACCTTGGAGAAGGGATGGCACAGGCTTGGAAGGTGGCACATTTTGAAGATGTCATCAGAAAGTGGGGAGGGGTGCTGGCTGGAGCACTGCTGGGCATAAGTGTCAGCACACCCAGGGTAGATGGAGGTCCGGCGAGGACCTGGGGTCCCTCCAACCCTCACTCTGCCGTTCTTGGTTCTCTGGGGGATGGGGTGGAAGTCTCTTATAGGTCTCACTTATTCACTGGAGGACTGAGCAGAGGGCTGTGGGCTCAGGCAGGAGACTTACTGTAGACGAGGCAGGGCTTTGTGGGGGCAGAGGTGGAGGGGTGCTGGAGCTCCCCAAGAACCACCACCCATCGCTGAGGTAAGAAGACAACTGGTCCACACACACAGAGGTACTGAGGGGTAGGGAGGGGGGACGGCAAGCCCTGGGCTGGGGCAGGGGGTGGTCTGGGGCCATAAACTTGTTTGAAAGAAAACAAAGGTGTGTGTGCACCAAAGCCCAAACCGTTAAGCTCGAGTGACTTGTAAAAGCATGGGACAGCAGGCCTCCTCCTCCCTCCCAGGTTGAGTGGGCTCCTGACATGCCCCGGGCTGGCTGTGCAGGCCCAGCCTCTGCTCCTCCCTCGGCGACACGGAAGGAAAAGGCTCGGTGGGGCTTCCGAAAACATTTAGTGCCTCGGTGCAGAGGCCGCACATCTGCAGGGACAATTGCCGCTGCGCCTTGTGATACACAGACGCCACTGTTGTTCACAAACCACTATGCGGGTGCCTCCGCGGCTCACGCTGCAGTGTCCAGCTGCTGCGGCCTTGCTCAGCAGACCTGTGTCATCATGGACGTCACGGTGCTGTCGAAGGCCCTGTGGGGTGGGGGCACGGGCGGTGTACACGGTCCAGCTGGGCTGGTTTTAGGTCACTGGGGAGACACCTGGATTGCGAAATCTTAACAGCCAAGCTCAGGAGCCCAATTGGCAGAGGGGTGGGAGACAGTGGCTGACAGCCCCTTCCCACCTGCACCCCTATCCCTGTGCCAGGACCCCACCTGGATCTGTAGTTGCCCAGGTCCCAGCTGGCTGCCCTTAGGACACCTGGTGGGTGGCCCTGCCCCATACCTGCCCAATGCCCACCTGGAGTGAATGCGGTCCCCAGGGTTGTAGAAGGGGTTGCACATGACGTCGGTGTAGGAATTATGCAGCTTCCGGAACATCTAGGAAGAGACCCAATGTCGCTCTCAATGCCGTGCACACACTGCTCGGGGCCTAGAACAGTCCCCCACACCCGGCGTCTTGGTCAAGGCAAGGCGGTTCTGACACACAACGACCCAACAAGGTGTCCCACCTGCGGCTTTAGAAGGGTCTCTGGTAAGGCTGTGGGTGAAGTGCTGCACTGCTAACAGCAAGGTCAGTGGTTCAAACCCACCAGCTGCCCCAAGGGAGAAGGCTGAGGCTGTCTGCTTCCGTCAAGACCTATAGTCTCGGAAGCTCTGGGAAGCCATTTCACGGGGACTTAGAGGGCAGCTGCACGTCAGGATCCCAGCAGTGGGTGGGAATCTTTAGGAAGCACTGCAGGAGTTTCCCTGGAGCAGCTGCTGGCTGGAAATCTATGTGCAGTAGCAGTCACACGCATCACTGCTGGGCCACCAACCCAAACCAAGCCCCTACCACCCAGTCAACTTCGACTCAGATCGCCCTTCTACAAAGTTTCTGTGACGGTACATCTTTCCAAGAACCAATCTAGTCTATCTCCCTGGGGAGAGTTGGTGGGTTTGAACTATGGACCTTGCAGTCCACAGCCTTATACCTAGCCTACAGTGCCACCAAGGCTCCATAAACCTCAGCAGAGAGGGGGGCATGAAACTAGGAAGCCCAACTCACCCACCACCGGCAGCCCACCACCAATTGGGCAGCCAGCCCAATTCAGCCTCTAGAGGCCGACTCGCCCCCCCCTCCCCAACTCGATCCTGACCTTGAGTTTTAAAGGCAGAGCTGGCGCAGCAGAAAAGAAGGAACGGGGAAAACCCCGCCTGCGCTTACGCTGCGGATCTCGTTGTCCCTCAGCGCCGTGTTCGATGAGTCCACCACCATCACAAACTTCACCTTGGAGTTGGTCACGTAGCCGTAGCTGAGCATCTGGTTAGGGAACATGCTTTAGGTGCAGGGTCTGCTGGGAGGGTAACTGAGACCCACAACGGGCACATGAGGACTGTGCGGCTGGGAGGCCCAGCTACCCATGGCTCCCTGTGGAGGCTCCCTCCACAGAGGGCCTGCAGAGGGCCATAGGGTGTAGTCCGGGACATTTCCTGGGCAGGCAGAAAGCCCCTTCAAGTCACACTGGGGGCTGCCTCCCCAGACTCTCAGTCTGTGTGGGCCTTATCACATTCCTGCATTGGCCTTGGCCCTGAATCTTTTAACGGCAACACCTGCATTTGCACAAGGTCCTGCAGAAAGCCCACTGGGAACTCTGTGGGAGTTGGCTAGGAAGTGGCCAGAGGACAGTCAGGGCTGGATCTGCCTACAGGGGTGAAAGGCATTGCTCAAGGTGGAGGCCCTAAGCAAACACTCCCTGCAGGGAGAACGAGTAGGAGCCAGCCTGGGAGAGTCCTTGAGTGAATGCTGTATGCTCCCGTGAACTCAACTCTCCAGATAAGCCAGGCTCCCTCCTCCCAAATAACCCTTCCAACTGAGAGGAAGGCCTGCCAGCCTTCCCCTTCCCCTGAGTGATCCTAACTTCCTGGCTAGCTGAAACCCCTCACCTTTTTTGCCCAGGGATTATGAACAGCATGCCAAGGTTATCAGAACCAAAGACAGGGCTGCATCTGCTGGGGAAGCGCAGACACAGAGGCTCAGGGAGCGGAGCCCCGTCCAGCTGGAGCGGATACACCTTGTGGTCCTCGGTGGGGTAAAGCAGGCCCAGGTAGAGCTCCCTCTGATCCACTAGGGCCTTCCCCAGCGCTGAAATCTTCTCGTCCACCACGTCCAGCGAGGTGTGCACCATGTAGTGGAACTTCAGCTCGTTCTCAGTGGGGATGCTTCGGATGTAGAGGGGGTAATTCTGCAAGAAAGGACGAGGGTCCCTGAGGTGGGGAAAAAACCCTCTGGGCATCGGGGTGGACACACCCATATACACACACTGGGCACCTGGGAGTGTGCTTTCTCTAAAGCAGCTGCTTAGGTCGCCAAGCCAAGGTGAACATCTGCTTCCGGGGACCGGAGCCTACCTCCACCGAAGGATAGTCCTGTCTGCAGAGGGGCTTCCTGCCACTAGCTGACTCGAACCACATAATGGCACTTCACCTTTCCAGAGCCCACTTCACCTCTGCCCCCTCTCCCATCAGTGGGGGGGTGGCTGCCCCAGAGCGCACATCTGCCTGTTGCTGCAAATTCCCCAACGCCTCACCTACTGCCCCCAGATCTACTAAACCTCTTGTCATCGCCAGCCCGCCGCATTGTCCCTTGCTTACATGGGGGCATGCCACAACCTTCACAGCCTGTCAGGCACCCAGCGCCACGGATTATGGTGACCAGGTCACCAAACCTTGGGGCTGATAGTCTGGAAGGGCATCGAATGAACTATAAATAGTGAGGGCGGAGGAGCCACGTGGACCACAGCTAGTTGCCAGGAGCCCACCTCCTCCTTGGGCCTGGAAGAAGGTCCCGGTAGGAACGCCAAGAGGGCAGCTCCCCGTGCAGCGCAGCACCCAGAAAAGACTCTGGAGAGGGTGAGGACGCAGTGCCTACTAGCCAGAGGGCGGCGTTGGGCGCGTTTACAGACTGGGTGCTGGATGAGTGAGGCGCAGGGGTCACAGGCCCTCCCGGGGCCCCAGCCGACTAGCGGAGGGAAGGCAGGGAGCGTGGTGCTTGAGGGGCGCCCGCGGGGGCGAGTTCCGAGCTCAGGAGGAGGCTGGGGTCCTGCGGGCGGCAGGCACAGCTGCAGGACGCTCCCTGAGCGCCTCAGCTGGGCGACGGCCTGCTCTGGCCCGTTTCTCGTTTGGGGTCCGTTTCTTAAGGAACCCGCCACAAGCAGAGAGGAGGATAGCGGAGAAACACGAAGAACGGAGCTCGTGGGGGCGGGGGTCCGCAGGCCGGCCAGTCTAGTGAGCGCGGGGCCGGAGCAGGAGACACGGCGGCCCCTCGCCCACCGGGCGCGGTACCCACCTCCTTGGCGATCACAGCGATGCACACCGCCATCTTGCGAGGCCGGCGGCTGCGTCACGTGACGCCACCCGCCAGTCACGCGGCCGCCCTGGGCCCCGCTTTCCGGCTACTAGTCGGCCTCAGGCCACGCCCCGTCCATTACGTTGCAGCCCCGCCTTCTCTCAGGGCCTACCCAGGCCGGGCCCGCCCCGCCGCTGAGGCCCCGCCTTTCCTGTCACGTGGCCACCTCTTGCTCACTCGATTCGCGGGCGCTCGCCCCGCCGCCGTGGCTCCGCCCTCCCGCCATGGCCCCGCCCCCCGTCACGTGGCCCCGCCCCGGAGGCCTCAACAGTGGCTGGCGAGCTTGCTCTCTTCTGTCGGAGTCCCGGCTCCTCGGCCCCAGACCTAGTTGCTATGGCGGCGGTTGCTACGGCGACCAGGTGGTGGTGGTGGTGGCGGCTGCTGTTGCTGAGCGCCGCGAAGCTGGGGGCGGTGGGCCTCCCGCAGCCCCCCAACATCGTACTCATGCTCATGGATGATGTGAGTCCGGGAAGGGCGGCGGGCCGGGGTAGGGACCTCCGCGCGGGCGCCTGTCCCGCAGCCCAGGAAGGTCTGAGCCTCCCTGGGGGAAAGGAAGGGCCGCGTGGCACCCCTCTCCCCTCGGGTGTGGCGGCCAGGAAAGAGCGCAAGGCTGACCGATCCGGGCCAGGTGCCTCCCCTACGCATTACCTGAAACCAGCTCACCTGGATCAGCTTTTCAGCCCCTGGGGTCAAAGGCCTTATCTTCCCCCAGCAGGGAGGCCCCACACCTGGCAGGGGCAGCCCTAGGGGTCTGGGCTGAGTCTTTCCTCAGGCTGGTCTGACCCCTGGCCCCTCTTCAACAAATGGAGACAATGAAATTAGTGCACTGTAGGCACGGGCAGAAGTGGGCGCAGGGACGAGCAAGCCTAGTTCCACTCTTCTGTGGAGCTAGGGGAATGGCCGCCCAGCCTGTTCCTGAAGGTAGCAATCTCCGTCTCAGCCAGGTTACAAGTAATGGCTCCTCCTCTCACACTCCCCATCCTCTAGCTGCAGACCTGCCCTTTGTCCCTACACCTGGACTTTTTATTTAAAAATAAATGCAAATGAGGGGAGTACATGCTGTAAAAAAACCTAAAAGGAACGAAAGCTTTGAAAAATAGAGAATTACAGATAAAAAGCCCACCTGCCAGTGGGAGCGGGACACATACAGACACACGTCAGGGGCCCACATGTAACTTCACCAACTGCACGCTTTTCTGGGAAGAAAACAGGTAACCCAACGTGGCCCCTGCAGAACCTGGGGGGCCCATAGGGCCTAGGCAATGATGTCATCTGTGCCCCCCTCCACCTGGGTGACCATCTCTTCTCTATGCCTTTGGCAGTTCAAACGGTTGTGATAGGCAGGGTCATCTGTTGGAAGCATCTATGTACATAACACACACGTTCCACACTTAGCGTGTGTGGGACACTGACTCGTGCTGGGGTCTATTGGCTGTGGAAACAGTCCAGCCCTCATGAATACAGGTGAATCCTTGTGCGTCTGCCTTGTCCCGATCAGGTGGCACAGAGATTATGCTGGTGACACAGGTTATGCGTTGGGCTGCTCACTGCAAAGACAGTAGCTCAAAACCACCAGCCGCTCCACAGGAGGAAGACAGATTTTCTGTCCCGTGTAGAGGTACAGTCTTGGAAACCCTCAAGGGCAGTTGTCAGTCTGACTACAGCAGCGGTTCTCAACCTGTGGGTCGCCACCCCTTTGGGGGTCAAACAACCCTTTCACAGAGGTCACCTAAGACCATATTTCTGATGGTCTTAGGAACCGAGACACTGCTCCTCTATCCATCTCCAGGCAGGTCCGCCCACATGCAGATACGCCCACACGCGGGGGTCACTGCCGTGTGAGGAACTGTATTAAAGGGCCTCGGCATTAGGGAGGTGGGGAACCGCTGCCCGACAGGGTTGCTGGGAGTGGCAACAGGCTTGAGGGCCGTGAGCAAGCCCTTCTTTCTGCACTGGCTCGTGGGCTGTGGCTGCAGCAGGGTACTGCACTGCACTGCACTGCATGCACAGGCCTTCCCAGAGCTCCTGGGGATATCCCATGGTCTCTCCATACCTTTTCCCAGGAACTTTTCTGACGCTTCATCATGCAGGCATATTCGTGTGTGTTTGTATACATACAAGGCAGGTGCCCCTCACCTATACCTGGTTTACTCAGGGGCTCGTCCCACACCCACACTGCAGCAAATGTGCACGTGCCAGTCTCCGTGGGGCTCAAGTTCACACTTACCTCAGGTATAGGACACCTAGGCAAGGGGTGGTCGCTCACATGGCGACTGGCATTACAAGGGACTGCTAGCCAGCGGGACCCCCACAGCCATGGCACCATTTTCTCTGCGCCCCACTCGTGAGGACTAGCTTCATCCTGAAAAAGCCTGTGCACGGAGAGGCAGCACGGGATCACAGTTCACAGGTGGGGCGGAGGTAGCTTAGGGAGGACTTGCAGAAACCGCTGAGCTGGCAGAGCCGGGGCCTTGATCTCAACCAGCTGGCCTGCCCTCCCCCCCAAGGACTCTCATCCTGCTCTCCCTGTATGCTCTTCCTGCAGATGGGCTGGGGTGACCTGGGGGTCAATGGGGAACCTTCCAGAGAGACCCCAAATCTGGATCGCATGGCTGCGGAAGGAATGCTGTTCCCGAGCTTCTACTCGGCTAACCCCCTGTGCTCGCCTTGTAAGTCATGCACGCCCGGCCCCAGGCTGGGTGGGGCCTCTGGCATCGAGGCCCCTCCTGCCCTGGTGGCACACTGGGTTAAGCGTCCAGTGGCTAATGGGGGTTGGGGGTGGTGGTGGCGGCAAATTGAGCCCATCAGCAGCTCCATGGAAGAAAGATGGGGCAGTCTGTCTGTGGGGGTCACAGCCTTGGGGTCAAGGGGGCAGCTCTATTCCAGGGCTACTCTGTGGCCGAGGGCACAGACATGGCCCCACCACAGACTGGCATCCCAGCCTTTGCCCTTCTGTGCCTTCCCTACGTGCGTTTCTGTCATGCCCACACAGCCAGAGCGGCTCTGCTCACAGGACGCCTGCCCATCCGGAATGGCTTCTACACCACCAACGCGCACGCCCGAAACGGTGCGCAAGCCCAAGGGGCCCAGGAGCGGGGAGGGGAGGGCGCGGTGAGCACAGCGGGACTCGTGTGGCCAGATGTGGCTCCTGTCAGCACGCGGTGCAGCTTGGCCACAGCTTCAGCCTCTGCCAGGCCTGCTCCCTGAGCCCTGGGTGCTGCCCCTGCGTCTCCCAGAGACTGATGGAGACAGAGAGCGGGTGTGCTGGGGAGCCCGCAGGTGCAGAAGTGAGGCTTGAGGGGGCCTTGGAGGAAGGAGGGAGACAGAGGAAGCCCAGGTAGAGGGAGCCCCCACCCATTGCCACCCCAACAGCGCCGCACCAAGGTCATGCCTGCTACCCACCATGCTCACCGCAAACCCCAGCCTCACCCTCCTTCCTCCCCACAGGGTATACACCCCAGGACATGGTGGGGGGCATCCCGGCCTCAGAGCGCCTGCTGCCACAGCTCCTGAAGGAGGCCAGCTATGCCACCAAGATCGTGGGCAAATGGTGAGTGCGCTGTCTACAGCATTGCCCCCACCAACCACAGGGGACCACAGGGTTGCTGTGAGACCCGGACACACTGCACACCTTGTCCCTAGGCACCTGGGCCACCAGCCTCTGTTCCACCCTCTGAAGCACGGCTTTGACGAGTGGTTTGGCTCCCCCAACTGTCACTTCGGACCTTATGACAACAAGGCCAAGCCCAACATCCCGGTGTTCAGAGATTGGGAGATGGTAGGCAGGTAAGCGCCCACACACACACCAGCTTGGCCTTGGGTGAGCACACCCCTGTGCATGGTAGGGGGTGGGAGACCGTGTAGCTAATCCACCCCTGAGACCCTGCCAGTGAGCACACTAGCTGAGCTTCTCCCCTACCCCCACCCCCACCAATCTCCAGCCCTACTCTCAACTGTATTCTCTGCATGTGGAGAACCCCCAAAAGCCTGGGCTCCCTCAGTCTTGGCCAGGCTGACGGGTCAGAAAGAGCTGCTGTAGGTGACAGACTAAAGTGGGCCCCAGGCGGACCCCGGCTGGGCATGCTGGTAGGTCGCTCCAGCGCTGAGCTGCGGCAGCATCTGTGCCCACTCTCTGGGGTAAAAGTGGTAGCTCCCTGCTGCTCGGGTCCCAGCAGGTCCACGTCTTGCACAGACTCCACCCAGTTTAGAGCAGTGTCCCCCAGAAGCAGCTCTGCACCCTGAGCTGTCGCCCTCAGGCCCCGCCTGGCAGCCACTGCTCCTCCTGGCTGAGCCAGTATTGTTGCACCTGACTTGCTGTGTGGACGGGGCCGTGGTGGCAACGGGACTCCAGCCTGGCTCCTGGGGGCCTTGGGGATGTGGCAAGGTGGAGGTGAGGGGCTTGCTCTGGATGATGGTGCCCTCTGCTTTCAGATTTTATGAGGAGTTCCCCATTAACCTGAAAACCGGGGAGGCCAACCTCACCCAGATATACCTGCAGGTAGTGGGGCCTGCGGGTTGTGGGGAGCCAAGGGCAGCAGTCCCAGGGTGGGGGCCGTGGGCAGGCAGGGAGTGGGGACTGCCGGGCTGAGGGGCCTGCTGTCCCCCAGGAAGCTCTGGACTTTATCAAGAGGCAGCAGTCCCAGCAGCGGCCCTTCTTCCTCTACTGGGCCATCGATGCCACGCACGCGCCCGTGTACGCCTCCAGGCCTTTCCTGGGCACCAGCCGGCGAGGGCGGTGAGTCATAGTGCGGTCTTCCCTTTCCCTGGAGACAGCTGGGAGCTGCCCGCTGGGTTAGCCATGCCCGTCCCCGGAGGACGGCTGGGAGCCACCCGGCAGTGGAAGGCAGTGATCATGGGGTGCCCTTGCCTCACCTGATGGGGCCCGCAGCTATGGGGACGCGGTGCGAGAGGTGGATGACAGCGTGGGGCAGATCCTGCAGCTGCTCCGGGGCCTGCACATAGCCGAGAGCACCTTCGTCTTCTTCACGTCCGACAACGGAGCGGCCCTCGTCTCTGCCCCCCAGCAAGGCATGCAGGGTCCCCAGGGGTGGTGTGGGGAGGGTCAGGCACAGGGATGCAGGAGACCAGGGGACCAGGAAGGCCCTTTGAGGGGCATCGTGGGCAGGACCAAGGAGGCAGGCACAGAGACACCATGGGGAGCCCAGGGCCTGTCTGCATAGAAATGGAAAGAAGAGGAAGGGCTCAGGTACATAGGGGGCTGGGGCATGGGCACACGCCCCCCTATGAAGCCCACCCTTTCCTCTCTGCTTATCACTGGATCCTAACCCTCCCACCCTGGCCTCGGCCTTGGTCTGACCCACGGGGTCTAGAGACAGAGCTGGGCCCCTTCACCTGTGTCTGAGACCAAAGCCCCATGGCCTCACCCCAAGTCCAGTTCCTGTGTGATGATCAGTGCGTCCACAGCAGCCACCACTGACCAGCACCTGTCCCTGCAGCAGGCAGTAATGGCCCCTTCCTGTGTGGGAAGCAGACCACCTTCGAAGGGGGTGTGAGGGAGCCGGCAATCGCGTGGTGGCCTGGGCACGTGCCCATGGGACAGGTAAGGGGATGATCAGGGTCTCTCTAGGGCACCAGTGGTCAGCTGCAGGTCCGAGCAGCTGACAGAGAACGCAGAGCTGGCCAGCTGCTTTCCTGTGAGACCTGGCAGTGCCTTTAGCTGCTGTGTGATCAGGAATGGCCCCCAGGATCCACCCCCCAACACCCACCTGCCACAGGGACACTCAGCAGTGCCCCTCCCTGGACATGGGAGTGCACGAGTCAGCCCAGACCCACAGGGCCCACAGTCCCCACATGCGGGGAACGTGCACATCGAGAGCTCAGGCCCCTCTGCACCATGGCCGACCTGGCAGTGCTGACCAAGGCAGGGCCAGTTCAAAGACCACTTCACATCCTCGGCAAGGCCTCTGTCCGGTGCTGGGCCCACTCACGTGGCCTTTGTGCCAGTGCCGGGCCCCATTCGGGAGCCCACTGGCCCAGCAGCCAGAGGGGTCGTCGGTGTGGGGACTAGGCTGGGCCAAGTCAGCAGAGGCCGCTGCCCAGCTCAGGGTGTGTAAGGGTGGGGCGCCTCCCCTCTGGGTGCAGACCCACCGTGTGTGGGAGGTGGATGCTGGAGGTGTTCGTGCCCGGTCCCTTCCAGGTGAGCCACCAGGTGGGCAGCCTGATGGACCTCTTCACCACCAGCCTGTCCCTCGCTGGCCTGCAGCCCCCCGGAGACAGGGAGATTGATGGCCTGGACCTGGTCCCTGTCCTCCTGCAGGGCCAGCTCATTGACAGGTCAGTGCTGCCGATGCCCACCTAGCACCGATGGCCCCTGTCCCAGCCTCCCTGGCCTCAGGTTCCCTGGGCTCCCTGCTGCCACCCTTTCTGCACCAAGAGCCTGGGCCCAGTGGGGGCCTGCGGCCCAGCGCCCCAACTGAGCCTCTCCATCTGCATGACGCTCCACAGAGGGACACGAATGCGCTGGAACAGACAGGCAGACTGGGGGCCTGGTCTGGAGGGCCCATGCCTACCCCTGCACCCTCCCCGCCAGCCTTCCCAGCTGCTGGGCCACACCCCACAGCTCCTTCCCCATAAGAGAAGTCGTCCCTTCCGGGCCAAATGAGGGTCTGCACAGTGGGGGCTGGGTGTCTAGCAGGTCAGCAGTTACAGGTGTGCGGCTGGCCACTGGGCGTGCACACCAGGCCCCTGTATCATCGAGGCCCCTCCTGACAGGCCCATCTTCCATTACCGTGGCAACGAGCTGATGGCAGCCACCGTGGGCCAGTACAAGGCTCACTTCTGGACCTGGACCAACTCCTGGGAGGAGTTCAAAAAGGTAAGGATGGCCCTGGAGACCCTCCTTCCTGGAGTGGCCCCCTGGCACCTCACGATGAGCAGGAGGAGCCTGGCCGCAAGCCAGGCTGGGCTAGCAGCGAGGACGTTGGGGGCCACCTGGGTGCCGTGGTGGCCCCAGTCCTCAAGATGGTGTGAGCCAGGCTATCCCGGGAGGTGAGCCCCACCTCACCCCTCCCTTCCCCCTTCCAGCTGGAGGCAGGGCCTGCAGCATCAGCCACCCAAGAATGTGGTCATTGTGGTGTGGGCCTGGAGTTGGAAGTGGGGGGTTGTGTGTCCATGCCCCTCCTATGATTGCTTCCCATCCCAGGCAGGGACCGCAGTGAACCCACTGCAAGGTCGAAGGTCCCAGCTGAGTTCCCTCCTGCTTGCATTGCCTGCCATCCTCACTGCCCCCCAACCAGATCTATGCAGACATCCTCACTGCCCCCCAACCAGATCTATGCAGACACCCCATCCTCACTGCCCCCCGCCCACCAGATCTATGCAGACACCCCATCCTCACTGCCCCCCGCCCACCAGATCTATGCAGACACCCCATCCTCACTGCAAACCTTTGGATGTTTAGATACATGGAAACCTTGCTAATCTAGCTTTAAGTGGGAGGAGAAGCTATCCAACAGCTACACGGTAGAACAATCTGGGCCAGCTGATGGGAATCATAAATTTAGTGACCATGGACTCCAGGGCAGGGGGCCCAGGAGGCCTTGCCCAGGACCCCACTCAGCCGCCGGCCAGGTGGCTGCTCCTGGGGAAGGGCCCTGCATCCAGGCCCATCAGCCCACCCACTCTGATGCACAGGCTCCCCTGGCCCCCAGGCTGCAGAAGTGGGCAAGCAGTCCAGGAGGACCATGTCCACTCAGTGTGTGCCAGCTCAGCTGGCCCCATGTCCTCCTCACCGCCTCCCCATGCTCGGGGTCCTGCAGGCCTTCAGGGCAGCCCCTGGCCCATGCCTGGCTGGTTTCCCTCCACACTACTGCCATTCTCAGGACTGCCCTGAGGGGGCAACCCTCACCAAGCCAGACTCAGGTGGGGGGCTGCTCACCAGAGAGGGCTGTCCAGCCATCAGGCACCTGTGCTGAGGTGGAGAGAGACCCCCATTAGCACACACTCCCAGTGGGGCAGACTGCAGAGGGCACTAAGGGTGCACAGTGTAAACAGTGAGCTAGAGCCTAGCCTGCTGAGCTCCCCCCCCAACCAGCCCACAGCCTTCTGGGAGCATCTCTGCCTTGGGGCAGCTGCACTGCCACTCTGTCCCTGGACGGCCAGCAGTCAGCTCCCCAGCACTTGGAGGGGCGCCCTTGCCGATCAGCAGGACCTTCCTAAGTCACTTAATTATTTTGCATCCAAAATATAATAGGTTTTCTGTCTGGTTTCTTGGGTAGGATGGGGTGCACCCGGTGTGATGTCATCTGTCAGGTCCAGTTCTCCTGGCCAGCAGGTCACCCTTGTCTTGGTTCTTACCCCAAAGTTCCCCCCTGGGGTGGGCCGACCTACAGTGGGTCCCCTTGGAGGGCCAGCAGCCCCAGGGGGCAGCTGTCAAGTGATGGACACTGAGGTCCTGGTGGGCTCCTGGCCATAGAGAGTCACTGAGCCGAGACCCTGCACCACCTGCAAAGGTCCACTCATGCACACCAGAGGCCGCTGCCCGGAAACCACAGCAGGGTCCTGGGCCCAGGGCTTCCAGAGGCTGGTGAGCTTCTGTCCTGGCTCCTTGGTCTCTCCCTGAGCAGCTTACTCTCGGGTCCCATAAAGCCCTCAGAGTCTCCATTGCCTCTGAGCCCTGGGGCGCCTGGGGATCCTTCCCTGTTGACCGTCTAGTCTCTTGGGGGCAGCAGTGCCTGTCTGCAGGCTTGGAAGGAGCACGGTGAGCTCCCCCTCTGGGCAGATAAACTGAGGTGTCGGCATGAGCACCCCTTTTCTAAACTGGCAGCAGTCAAGGTGTGAGACTGACTAACGGACGCTACTTACCTGCACCAAGCGGAAGACGGATGGGCCAGGACCAGGTCCCCAGGCTAAGGGTATACCCCCCACACAGGGCATCAACTTCTGCCCGGGGCAGAACGTCTCAGGGGTCACCACCCACACCCAGCAGGAGCACACGTCACTGCCACTGCTATTTCACCTGGGACGAGACCCTGGGGAGCGATACCCGCTCAGGTGAGCTGGCCTGGGGGCCTCTGCGGTTTCCATTTGGCCGGCTGATTTCTCCTGGGAACCTGAGGGCTGCAGGGAGGGGAGGCGGGAGGAGCCCCACCCCCTGGCCAGCCAGCCACACCTGAGTCCCTGTCACTCTTGGGCTGCCCTGCACAACAGGACGGACCACCGAGGGGGCCATCCCATACCTCCTTCCCCCGGGAAGGTTCTCCCATCTCTCGGTGCCCTCATCCACCTGCTCACCCCGCCCCCTCCAGATGCAGGGTGTCAGTGCAGGCCTACCTTGCTACTGCGGTCTGACGGAGCGTGCCCCCTGCCTGCTGCTGGGGTTTGATGGAGCGTGCCCCCGCCCCTGCTGGGGTCTAACGGAGCATGCCCCCTCCTTTCAGGTTTGACAGCGCTGAGTACGAGGCTGCTCTCCAGCGGATCAGCCCGGCTGTGCAGCAGCACCAGGATGGCCTGGTGCCCGGGCAGCCCCAGCTCAACGTGTGCAACCCCGCCGTGATGGTGAGTGGGCGCCCCAGCAAGGGAGGCCACATGACCAGGCCCCTCCTCCTCGGCCCGGGACTCCAGCTCTGCCCCAGCAAGCACTGAGGCGAAGCCCCACCGGGTGGGGCAAGGGGCCCTTCCCTTCAGGGGCTGGCTCTAGAGGGGCCCACGACCACCTCTGCAGGTACAGATGTAGGTGCAGGTGGGCTAGGACTCCAAGGCTCATGGCAGCCAGCTGTTGAGTGGGCAGGCAGGCCTTTTCAGACTCCAAGAGCAGGTGGGGTTTCCACTGGGAGAAGGGGATCCCCAAGGGCAGGTGGGGTGCTGGCGCCTGGTGTGGCCATCACCATCCAGAGCAGAACAGGGCCCCTCTCTCTGTACCTGGCTCAGTGGGCCCTAAGGCAGGATGTGGGGTGTGTTGGGGGACATCGCACTTGCAGCAGGTGTGCTGCTCACCAGGCATGTGTTGGCCCCGTGGCTGGCCATCGGGACACAGCAGACTGCGCCTTCTGGTGGCAGTGAGTGGGGTCAGACCATCTCTACCGGTTACCCGAAGTCCAGGCGCTGGCAGTGTGGCAGTGGCTGTGGTCTCGGGTGGGAACACACCAGACCGTGCTTTGCCATTGGGAACGGCTGCACGGCAGCCACGGACCTCAACCAACACCTGTCACTGGAGCCCAGCTGGCTGTGGGTGCTGGAGCCCTGGGGGCCCATGTTCATGTCCACCAGAACCAAGACAACGATCAAGGACAGGCAGCACCCTCTGTCCTGTGTCCAGCCCGCCAGCTGCCTGTGTGGTGGGTGAGCTGGGCTGAGTTCCGAGGGGGTGATGGCATATAAAGATGGCATTTTCAGGGACTTGAGACCCCAAAGCTGAGCTCGAGTGCAGAGCCACTGCTGCTGGTGTCACACGGGCTTGTCCTGTAACAACTGAGGCCCCAGGGACTCCTTGTCCCCTAAGGAGAGTGCTCTGCTGATGGTGGGGGGGTATGTCCCAGGAGGCAGGACGGCTGGGTGGCTGTAGCTGCTGCAGGACAGCCCAGCACCCCTTCCAGCCAGTGGTGGGTGTCTGGCACCTCCCGAGCCTAGTCTTGTCACTGTGACATTGCCCCCTTGTGCACGCCCTGCCTAACAAGCTGCCCCAGAGGATCCAGGCACAGGAAATGACTGTCACTGCTGGGGACAGCGCCATCTGCTAGGCACAGGAGGAACTGCCACCTGCCAGCAGCCTGGAACCCGGAAGAGGGCAGCTGAGCCCCGCCCCCTCTGAGAGCTGGTCCCCAGGCCCCTAGGACACCTCACATGCCACCCTTGAGTCCTGGCCAGGCCCCACTGCACCTGTCACTGGGGGCTCCTGGGGCCAGCTCTGCCACACTCTGGGGTCCCTGGCAGCCCGTACAGTGATGCCTTCTCCTACTGGCCACAAGGCTGGCAGTCCAGACCCTCCAAGGTGCCTGAGAAGGAAGGCCTGCCCAAATGCCGCTCTACTCCGCATGTGGTGCCGCCGTGGACTCTGGCATCCTCGGGAGGGAGGACGGGGTCACCTTCCTGGGGAAGGCCCTGGCCCCGAGGAGCAAGAGTCCAGCTAAGGCCTGGAAGGGATTCTGTGGCTTGAGGACTTTCTGGGTGCCTGGGCTGCACTATTCTTCCCTGCACAGCTGAGCCTGGATGCTGCTGCGCAGTGGGCCACCCTCACCTGAAGCCCTTGGCCCTGGGCTTGTTCCCCCTCACCAGCCCCGCACCACCCACTCGGAACCGCCACCTGGGGCGGGCCTGGTGGGGACAGGAAGTGTCCCCACACAGCTGTCAGTGCAACTTAGAAGCCCTGGGGGTGGGGTGGGTGGTGGAGGCCCCAGGTAGAAAGATAGCGGTAGAGGCCTGGATCATGGAGGTGGGGGGCGGGGTGGAGGCCCCAGGTGTAGAAGGTTGAGGGTGGAAGCCCAGGACATGGAGGCCCCAGGTGCAGAAGGTTAGGGGTGGAGGCCCAGATCATGGAGGGTGGGGGTAGAGGCCCCAGGTCTAGAAGGTTGAGGGTGGAAGCCCAGGGCATGGAAACCCCAGGCATGGAACCCCCAGGTGCAGGTTAGGGGTAGAAGCCTGGATCATGGGTGGGGGGTGGAGGCCCGGACCATGGAGGGTGGGGGGGGACTGCAGGGGAACTTCTGCCCTTTGTCAGCTTCTGGGATGAGACCCTGTTCTGATTTCTCATCTCACAGAACTGGGCGCCACCAGGCTGCGAAAGGCTGGGGAAGTGTCTGCCAGTCCCGGAGTCTGCCCCTGAGAAGTGCTCCTGGCCCCATTAGCGCCTGCAGCCCCAAGGCCAGTGCCCAGGGTGAGATGGCCCTGTCCCTTGAGTGTAGCAGCCCTGCCCTGGGCACCTGACCTGAGGGGGTCCCCATGGTTGTCAGAGGACTGATGAGACTGGAGCCTTCGGGACCTGGCCCAAGAAGCAGCCTGACCCTGCAGCCCCAACTTGGGCCCCCAGGCTGCTGCCAAGCCTGGTGGTGACAATGACCACTGCCCTGTGACCCCCTGAGCACAGGACCCCTCTGTCCACGTGGCCGCACAATGTCTCAGGCTGGCCTCCTCCAAGCAAGCCCCCTTCCCAGCACCGGCAGGGCCAAGCCAAACTGGTCCTCAGCCCAAGCTGAGGCGCACTGCCGTGTTCAGACCCTTGGCTCCTGTCCCCTGCTGCCCTCGATTTCCTGACCTACCCTTTCCCCCCACGCCCCTCGATTTCCTGACCTACCCTTTCCCCCCACGCCCACACAGGAGGAGAAGGCAGGTCCCCACCCAGCAGGCCACACCCCGTGCCCAGCCTGCTCCCCGGGCCCCTGAGGAGAGGCTGAGTGTAGGGCTGGAGATGTCAAGGGGAATCATGAAGAAACCTTTGAGGCATTTCTGCTCTGTTGTGCTGTATTTTTTTTAAGTGCGATTTATTGGGCTTTGGGACTTATACCAACCTGTCCCCTGAGCCAAAGGGGAGCTCACACTGCCCCCAAACCCCTTCCCAAGCACCTGGGCCCTGGGCTCCGTTCTGTGGGGCACCCCATCTGAACCCACCTTCACCTCTGCCACACCCGGAGGGCTTCCCACTACAAGGGCGGATGGCCGGCAGCACACCTAGGCCTCAGGGTTAGTTGGGGAGGCACAAGAAGGAGGCGGGGCTCCCAGCTTTCCCAAGGGACTCTGGCAGAGGCCAGGACAAGCAAACCGCTGGGAACAGAGAGCTTGCCTTCTAGCCTGTCCGGGCCGCCTTCCTGAGTACAGAGGCTGTATTTCATCGGCCGCAGGGCGTCCCCGTCTCTTCCCGGTACTGGGTACCTCTTAAAATCGACGGCACCTTGTAGTCCACAGTATACGGTAGGCCGAGCTCTTGCTCCGCCCCTCACGCGCCAGCCCGCGCAGGCGCGCTGCGCCCCGCCCCGCCCCGCCCCGGAGTTACCCTGCGCGTGCGCTGGTCAGCGGGGCCCAGTCTGATTCTCGGAAGCTGGGAGCCGGACCCGCCCTGGCAATGGCCGATTCGGAGCTGCAGCTGGTGGCGCGGCGGATCCGTAGCTTCCCAGACTTCCCCATGCCAGGCGTGCTGTTCAGGTGGGTGCGCACGCCGGCCACGTGCTGCCGCAAGCGGATCGATGGACGAAGCCCAGACTCTGGGCACTGCCCCGCGTGGAGCCTCTCCCCACGGCCGTTTGCCCCTAGCCCTGGGGAAGGCACCGCAGTCCCGAGCCTCGGTTTCCCCATCCGCAGAACGGCACGTGGTCAGCAGCCCGCCAGCCTGCTGATGGTCCTCCTCTGTTCACAGGGACGTTTCGCCTCTCCTGAAGGACCCTGACTCCTTTCGCGCCGCCATCAGCCTCCTGGCCAGCCACCTCAAGAAGACCCACGGCGGCAAGATCGACTACATCGCCAGTAAGCGCGCGGCACAGGCCGTCTGTCCGAGGAGTGGCGGCCAGAACCCATCTGGGTGCCCCAACGTTGGTCCACCCATGGCTGCCCTCCAGGGCCTCTGGTGGCAGCCCTGCCCTGGGAAGTCGGCTGGACACCCCTCCTTGCCCCGTTCTTCTGGAGTCCAGAGTGGGGAGAGCCCCGTGAGGCGTGACCTCATGGTCCCCTCTGCTAGGGGGCCTGCTGCTATAGTGGTGATTGGGTCTGCTAACCGCAAGGTCGGCAGTTAAGGCTTTCTACTCCAATCAAGAGTCAGTCTTGGAAACCTCCCCCTGGGGGGCGGGGAGGCATTACTACCCTGCCCTGTAAGGTCGCTGTGAGTCAAGCACTGACTGACTCCATGACAGTGAGATTTTTCTGCTAGGGTGGCCTAAGGGCTTTCGGGACCGGCCAGTGTCAGCCCTGGGCTCAGTGATGACCCTCCATGTGGTTGTAACCCCCCTCCCGTTGCACGCAAGGGCTGGGCCCCCACCCCCCGGGGTGAGGCAGCTGCCCTGGGTCTGCTGAGTCGGCTGAGCCAGTTCACCTTTCCCCAGCACCTGTATGTGCCCAGCGTCTGCCAGGCCCGTCGTGGGTTTCCAGCTGGGTGGCGGCTGCAGGGTCAGCAGAAGGGGACCTGCCAGCTGACCCGTAGGAGAAAGATCAGGGTGTGCTTTCCATCGAGAGTCACAGCCCAGGAAGCCCAGCACAGGGTCACTGTCAGAAGGAGTCCTGGGGGCCTTGTGGGTTATGCCTTGGGCTGCCAACTGCAAGGTCACCAGCCAGTCAGAGGGAGAAGCACAGTGCCTTCAGCACCTTTAAAGATTCAGTCTCAGAAACCCACAGAGGTGATTCGACCTCCTCTCCCTGCCTCCTCCCCACCCCGAGACAGAAGGGACTTAAATCCATGAGTTTAGAGCCAACTTGGGGCAGCAGGTTTGGAGCTTCAGTACAGGGAGGTGAGATGTCGCAGGAAGAGCCCGGGAGGAGGGCCGAGGCAGAGGGCCCAGGCCCCAGCCCTAATTCAGACACACAGGGCAGGTGCAGCTGGAGAGAGGATCCTTTGGTGGGCTTCCCTCCTGCCAGCAGCCCCCCACTATCACCACACCCCGAGCTGAACCAGATCTCTCCTCCATGCTCCCGCACCACATGTCCACCTCTCTGGGCAGACTACCTGTGAAGGACAAAAGGCCTGTACTTGCTGTAGACCCCAGCTGACCCTCTGCTGAGCACCCCCAGGTGGCTTGCCCAGTGCCCCAGAACCAGCCGTAGCACCTCCACCCAAATCCCAGGGCCCTGCTGGCTCATGCACAGCAAGGCCAGGGGTCCTTAAAATCAAGGGTCCCAGGTGTTCCCCACAGTACTCCAGCCTCTTCTCCCCACAGCTGTGGACTCTCGGGGCTTCTTATTCGGCCCCTCCCTGGCCCAGGAACTCGGCCTAGGCTGCGTGCTCATCCGAAAACGAGGCAAGCTGCCAGGCCCCACCCTATCCGCTTCATACACGCTGGAGTACGGGAAGGTGAGGGGGCCTCATATACAGTGGAGTTTGGAAAGGTGGGTTTACACACACTGCAATACAGGGAGGACTCATACACGCTGCAGTATGGGAAGGTGAGGAGCTTTGGATTCTACCCTATGGCAGACCCCTGAAGGGGAGGCCCACCCAGCACACTGCTTCCCCCCACAGGCTGAGCTGGAGATCCAGAGAGATGCCCTGGAGCCGGGCCAGAAGGTGGTGGTAGTGGACGACCTGCTGGCCACTGGTGGTGAGGGGGCTGGCCTGGTCCCAGGGGTGGGGGCCCTGATTTCCATTCAAGCCTTGACTACTGACAGTCAGAGCTGGGGCGCCCCGGTGACCTGCTGCACACCCCACAGGAACCATGAGGGCGGCCTGCGAACTATTGGACAAGGTGCAGGCCAAGGTGCTGGAATGTGTAACCCTGGTGGAACTGACCTCACTGAAGGGGCGGGAGCAGCTCGGGGCTGTGCCCTTCTTCTCGCTTCTGCAGTACGAGTGACCCTCGGCCTGGTGACCAGCCCAGACACGCCCCAACCCAGACCAGGACTTGTGGGCTGCTGCCACCAGGGGACACTGGCTGCCCACAGCCTAGGACTTTTTATATCTCTTCTGCTGTCCTCCCTCTGCTCCCTTGGCTGGGCCTGGAACCCATGCCCTGGGGCTGAGCCTGCAGGGGCTGCCACTGCCTCCTTTATACCTATGGCTAAACAAAGAGGACAAAAGGACGCTTTGCTATACATGCTGGCTACTGTCATCCTTACCCAGGGGGACCTGGACTTGGGAGTGAGCAGGTGTACCCCAAAGCTGTAGTTCTGCATCCAGCTCCAGGCAGGGGGCCTGGAACTCAGCCTTCTTGCTCAAACCTGGTTGTGGAGGTTGGGGTGGGTCTGATGATCTGGGCCCAGGCTTCCCACAGGGCCCCTGGGACACTTTTTACTTTTAATCATTTTATTGGTGGCTCATACAACTCTTATCACAATCCATACACACATCAATTGTATAAAGCATATTTGTACATTCATTACCCTCATTATTCTCAAAACTTTTGCTCCACATAAGCTCCTGGCATCAGCTCATTTCCCCCCCTCCCTCCTTCATGAACCCTTAATTTATAAATTACCATTTTGTCATATCTTACACTGACATCTCCCTTCGCCCACTTTTCTGTTGCCCATCCACGAGGGAGGTTATATGTAGATCCTTATAATCAGTTACCCCTCTCTACCCCACCCTCCTAGTATCGCCACTCAGCACTAGGCCTGAAGGGATCATCCGTCCTGGATTTCGTTTCCAGTTCCTATCTGTACCAGTGTACATCCTCTGGTCTAGCCAGATTTGTAAGGTAGAATTGGGCTCATCATAGTTGCGGGGGGCGGGGGGCATTTAGGAACTAGAGGAAAGCTGTATGTTTTTCATTGTTGCTACACTGCACCTTGACTAGCTCATCTCCTCCCGAGACCCTTCCGTAAGGGGATGACCAGTTGCTTACAGATGGGCCTTGGGTCCACACTCCCCGACATGCACAGTATGATTTTTTTGTTCTTTGATGCCTGCTAACATCCCTTCAGGACACAGGCTGGTGTACTTCCACGTGGGTTTTGTTGCTTCTGAGCTAGATGGCTGCTTGTTTACCTTCAAGTCTTTAAGACCCTGTATCTTTTGATAGTCAGGCTCCTTCAGCTTTCTTCACATTTGCTTATGCACCCGCTTTGTCTTCAGCGATTGTCAGGAAGGTGAGCATCAAGGAATGCCAGTTTAATAGAACAAAGTGTTCTTGCATTGAGGGAGTACTTGAGTGGAGGCCCAATGTCCATCTGCTACCTTAATACTAAACCTATGCACATAAACCTATTTCCCCGTCCTCATATATAAATATATTTACAATATGTACATGCCTTTTAGATCTCTATAAATGCCCTTTCCCTCCAAGCTCTTTCCTCTATTTCCTTTGACTTTCCTCTTGTCCCACCATCATGCTCAGCCTTCATTTGGGTTTCAGTAATTCCTGTTACATTACCCTTGATCACGCCCTACCAGGCCTCCTACACCCTCCTCACCACCAATTTGGATCACTTCACTTGTTCTCTTGTCCCTGGGTTAACACCACTTCCTTTCCCCCTACCTCCCCCTCTCCCATGTGTCCCCCCACCAACTGTCAGTCCTGTTGTTTTCTCCTCGATTGTTCATCCAGCCTTATTTAGACAGACCTGCAGAGGTAATAACATGCACGGAAACAAGGTTTGTTTTTGCTCCTGGGACATTTTTTATGGGGACTCATTTCCTGGGGTGTGACCATGCCCAAAGGAGGATGCTGGGAGCGCCGTAGTAAGCCTGACGACATAGAGACAATGCGAGCTCTGTCCGTCACTGAACTCCTCTCAGACCGGTTCAAACAGCTTCAGCTTCAGCTCTGGAGTTGGGGTCCATGGGGCCAGCTCCATCCTGAGGCGCCCAGGCCTCTGCTGTGTGGCCTGTGTCTTGAGCCAGCAGCATGGCATCTTGGGAGTCTGCGTCCCACCTGAAGCGGTCACATGGGGCCCCAGGTAACCCGAGCTACCACCCAGCTCAGGCCCTCCTGTCCTCCCACCTGCAGAGTGCCTCATGATAGGCGAGGAGGCCTCGGGTCACAGGTGAGGTCAGCCATCAGCATGCAGTTTCCACCGCCCTGTGCCCAGCCCCATTGGGGAGGGGGGGCCCACCCCACCCACACCCTACAGCAGCAAAGACACCTCTGCAGATGGAAACCAGTTTAATGTAAACTACACACGAACTCTGAGGCAGATGGGGAGGAGAGCCTGGGGGTGGGGTGGAGGGAAGGGAACAAAGTGCTGAACGGAAACTCAGCTGGGCCAGGCCAGGCATGGGCACAGCTCACAGGCTCTGCTCTGTGTGGGCTAGGCGGGTCAGCCGGGCCGTGAGACCCGCCAGGTCAGCAGCCTTGTCCAGTTTGACGTAGGTGTCGTTTCGGACACGGTGCAGGCTGAGCCAGTCGGGCAGCAGTTCGGCCAGCAGCTGCAGATGCTCTTCCATGTCCCCTGTGGCAGAGGCAGCAATGTGGGGGTGTACCCAGCGACCATGGCCCCCCTCCCGGCCATGGCGTCCACCCATACCGGTGCTCATGGGGGCGCGGTAGCTGCCCACCATCTTGGTGCAGGCCACCTCCATGGGGAGTGCCGGCTTCCGCTCGGACACAAAGATACTTCGAAGCACGCGGGCCAGCTCGGGCAGCCGCTCCAGCCTCTCCAGCCGCTGCTCCTGCTCTGGCCGCCGGGTCATCTGCGCCAGCTGCTTCTGTGCCTCCTTGGCGCGGATCTGGGTGGGCACAGGGGTGGGTCAGCGTGTGGTCCCCACAGTCCCCTACCCACCGACATCCCCCAGGACTCACCCGATCCAGCAGGGCCTGTGACACCCCCTTCAGTGCGCTGGGGGCAGCAGGTGATGTGGGCGGCAGGGCTGGACTGGGGGACCCAGGAGAGCTGGGCTGTGCTGTGCGCAAGGCCAGGTTACTCAAGGCTCTCTCCATCTGAGGGAACAGCGACGGGG